GGGCGGGGCGCCGAATGGATGACCCGTGCCTGTGAAGCCTCTCTTGGCGGGATTGGAGGCTGGGCTTCAAGGGCGCAGGGTTGTAAACTTGCCCTTGGACAGAACAGCCACTCCTTGGAGTGCTGGACCGAACCTTCCAGATGTTAGTGATAATTTTCCAGATATAAGAACCACCACCCGAGGATTACAAGATGTTTCTCCAGCTGTCTCTTCTGCAAACATCAGAACTGCTTCTCCAGATGTGGAAGCTACCTCTCCAGATGTGGAAGCCTCCTCACCAGATGCTCAAGTCAAGTCCCCGACATCTGTGGACAGCCTCCTGGCTGTCACCCTGGCTGGGGATCTGGGCCTGACCTTCCTCCAGGGCCATCAGACCCAGAGTCATCCGGGCCTGGGGACTGAGGGCTGCTGGGACCAGCTGTCTGCCCCTCACGTCTTCACACTCCTGGACCCCAAGTCATCGCCACTCACCATGGCCTTTCTCAACGGTGCTCTAGATGGGGCCCTCCTTGGGGACTACCTGAGCCGGACGCCTGAGCCCCGGCCACCCCTCAGCCACCTGCTAAGGCAGTACTACGGAGCAGGAGTGGACGGAGAGTCCGGGCTCCGTAGTAACTTCCGAAGGCAGAAGGGGGCTGCTCTGACCTCGGCTCCCGCCCTGGCCCAGCAGGTATGGGGGGCCCTTGCCCTGTTACAGAAGCTGGAGCCGGAACACCCCCAGCTGCAGGACGTGAGCCCACAAGAACTGGCCCATGTGGCCACCCGTGCCACCAAGGAGTTCACAGAAGCCTTCCTAGGTGAGGAGACCCTCTTTCTTACAGATACTTGGTTATGGATCTGTGGGGGGCAATGAGGATTCTGGCTGGGGTGGAGGAGGGGAGAGGGCTAGAGCAGGCTGCATAGGTGAAAAACGCTAGAGTTGGGCCTTTAAAAGTGAATGGAGGGGACCAGCAGCTAGCATAATGGCTGTGTCGCTGGACTCCCACGTAGTCGACTGCGGTTCGAGCCCTTGATCCGGTGGCTTAAACTCACGCCGGGCGCATGTGCGTGCATGCCCAAGATCCCAAGAAGAGAATGGAGGAGAAGGGATTGCGGCATGACCATCCCCCCTGGGGGGTGATTTCTCGCTTTCTGTCTCTCTGTCTCTCTCTGTCTGTCTGGCAAGCGCACGCGCCCTATAGCAAAAACCTCTCCAAAAAAAAATAAGTTAATTAAGAGACGAAGCTCACAAAGCAAGTAGCACACAATTACAGCTCAATAAACAGGTCTGTGGTTCTTCTTTTTCTCAGTACAGTTGGTCTTCCCTAGGGCTCAGAGCAGGGCCAGCCAGAGAGATTGTCAGGGCTTGATGTTTGAGCTAAACTTCCTGTGCTTTACACTGAAGGGAATAGGGTCATAGAGAATATTCTTTTTCTACTTCTTTTTTGTTTTTTAAAGGTTTTTGCCATAGGGCATGTGTACTCACTGCAGAGAGACAAAGACAGTGAGAAACAAAGCGAGACATCATCCCCTGAGGGGATGACCACACTGCAATCTCTTCTCCTCCATTCTCCTTCTGGGACTTGGGCATGCA